TTTGTTTTATAATTTATGTAAAATAGTGACTAATTTTTTATGACTAAACAAAAAAATAATGCAAACAACGTTTGTTGTTCAACAATCAATTTAAAGTTAACTACTTATGTGTGTGAATATATAATATTTTTAGTATTTTAAAACGACAATTTTATGCCTAATGAATATAAAATATAAATTAAATGAAAGTATAAATCAATTAATATTGGATAATGTTGCGCATATTGTTTTTCACAGGGTGTTAAGTAATGTGAATGAACTCTATAATAAAAGCATTAAATGTGTCTAAATTTACATGCAGGGAAAATCTAAACCGCACGATTTTCAAGTTACCATGACTGTGACATTTCGGCATTGGCATCTGCTGTATTGTATGCGGACGGACTTGCTTTGATTTTCTTGGCCAATTGACAATTCATTGTGGCAAATGTATATGCAATTATATATCTTAGTATTCCACGCTTTGTTGCTTCATTATACCCGCACAGACGGAATGAAGCGTTACGATTACAAAATTGTTGCTCATGGCGTTCATTAACCTCTTAATAATGAACTTGTAGTCAAATAACAGTGGTTTAGATTTTTGTTGAAGTCACTTAAGTATTGTTTAGGAAAAAAAAATATATCTCTCTTTATAGCTACAAAAATATGATAAGAGCAGAGCATATATTTTTTAGTTAAAATGTATTCGTATATTACGATTGTGTAACCTTTGCTTAGAGCTTCATAAAAAATATTTAGGTAGATATGAAATTATTTGTTAAATGTAGTTATTATTTTATTTAAATGCACTCAATTAGTAAATTTAGTTTTAGTATATAACATAAAATTTTGAATATTATAAAGTACAGAGTTCAAGAACTCATTCATAGCACACACCTCACAAATGGATTGATTATATGCAAACATTTCTAAATACATAATTGTCATGCTTAGATACTACAAATACGCAAATACTAGTTCTGTTCTGTTGTGCTCGTTTCTGTTCTTTAATTTTTATTTATTTTGTTTTTTTTTTAACTTAAACATATATCACATGTTTCGCATAAGAGCGCTAAATACTCACGAAGGCCACATTTGACAGTACCAACCTAAAATAATAAAATGAATAATTCTTTTTATTTACTTAACTGTCATATATGGAATTTTTTTAAAATATATTTTAATCGTTTCATATTAAATAGTCGTCTGTCGTTGTCTAAATATTTTATCGGTAATACTTCCATACACCTTTTTCTTCTTGTCTATCTTTCAGTAAGTGAAAAAGATTGTCCTAGCACGGATTCACAAGAACTTCGGTTTCAATTATTTCACAGATTTATTAATTATTTAAGAGGGATGAGATGTAAAAATTTCACTCAAAATAAAAAGTAAGAAATAAAACATTTTATATTAAAAAATCACTATTTATACATTTTCAGTAAATTCAAAATTTTTATTTTTATTTACTATTACTAGTGCTAATTACAAAATATTATTATATTGAGTCAGTCCATTAAGTCAAATACTGTTTTGGTATTGTGATGAATTTATGCTAGTTAACACTGCCGGACATAAAGAATTTGGTAGTTTTCAATTCCAAATAATTTCTTTTTATATTTTAAAATATTCGATATAAATTAGTATATTAGGTTTATCAAGATGTTTGTAAATCAGTGATAGAATCATTGAAGCCCCTATATTATCAATCCGCAACATAAGTGTAAGATGAATCGATTTAACCATATTATTATTTTTATTGAATTATTGACACACACATACTTCTCCACTCTGATGAGCCTGGGCAGTCCCCAAGCGAAACGCGTAAGTGCGAACTTATAAATGACTGGACTAATGACTTTTGAATATTCATTTTTATTGTAGCCTCTCACACAAAGTTTCGGAAAGTACAGAAATTGGGCTGTATGTTTAATATTTTTATTTATATTTATTTATTTATATTTTCTAACAGTTAAGTGTATTGTATATAGTTCTAATTGCAAATGGGGGTAGATTATGCTACAGATAGATTATAGTTCTGTATGCCATTATATGCCGATAACACCTACGATTTTTTAGACTTTAATTCTATTGTTTTTAGTGTTCTGATGTGAATTAGTACTCAACGTTGCTCATGTTTGTTTGAATTCCATTCGATATTACAGAATAGTCCAAATAGTATATATCACGTATTTGACCGAATAACACAAACTTAAGAATTAAGAATAAAGATTTTAATAAAATCTTTTCTGGTTTTCACCAGATAGCGAATATGTCACATTTGGGTAGTTGCTGTCAAAAATCGAGCGCTCTCTTTCACTAGAAATGCTAATCCCTATTTTATTAGTTTTTTCTATCAATAGTAGGTGGTAATTAATGGAAACAGTGCTGGTCTTCTTTATAGAGGCAAAATGTCTTCTGTGTTATTATTTGCTTGCGTCCATATAAATCCATATAAATCATAGTGCTGTTTCTTTAGAAGCTTCTGTTTTTATTTTGTTATATATTTCTAATAATAATATGTATTTGTGAGTAATATTGCATTAAAATTATAAAAAGTGGGATTCAAATATTTGTTGACTTGTTGATCTTTCTTTGTATAATAGTCTTTAATTCTTAAAAAAAACAAAAATATTTTAAAAGACCTTATACTTTATTTCTCGTTAACTTAAACAAACAACAAAATATATAGTGACAAAATGTCTAATTAGGAGAATTTAATGTATTTAATTAGGATATTGCAGAATATATGGGCAAGAATTTGCACTTCGTAGCCACATGGAAACTTTAGATAGGTTTTTGAACTTTATTTAGTTGTATTGTTAATTGCATCTGGCTGTCTGTGAGAATATTGAACTGGATATAGGTCACTTTTCGTTATTTTGTGATCTGATTCTTAAAATGAATTAAAATCTATAAACTAGAAACAAAAAATATTAGTGCAAATGAGATATCAGTCGATACTTAGTAGAACTTTTCACTATGTAGATTGTTAGACTTTTCACTATACTTTAAAAAATCCTTTCAATATACTTATAATAAAAATATTTAAATCATAAAACATTTAAATATTTATAAGTACTAAATTGGAAATATAAAATATTTCTATAAAGCAAATCATTTATGTGTAATCCATAAATAGTTCTCGTAGAAAACAAGTAATTGTAAATCTGAATACAAGAATCTAACTATGAAGCTTAAGTAGTCTGTGTTCAATTGTCGTAAAAGAAATGTATCCTCAAGTAGCTGTAAGAGCGAACGTCTGTCCGTTAAAGTCTTTTAACGTTAAGCGATTTCAATTGCAACTAATTGAGCATCGTTCAAGCCACCAGCCGCATACGTTTCGCGGCAATTCAACTTTTTCAATGTAACAATTCAATAAAAAGTACGTTCATTTAAATTTCAGTTCGAGGTTTTTATAGATTGTTACTTTAACCTATGTAATGGGCAGTAATTCAATTGGAAATCAATATCGTATAACTTTTTGATTATGTTAGCAATTTATGAAAATAGGTTAAATTTATTTTATAAACAAAAATACCGCCTTAGTTATATGCACGTACATATGTATGAAAAATTATGTATTAAAAAGTAACACTATATCAGTATAATAAAATTCTTTTTTTACTATTAGGCGATATCAAATTTTTTAAATAAATATCTCAATTTGTTGGCATAATTCTCAAAAGTAAAATTTATTTAATACTACAATTTGTTTCAATGTTTTTTGCTCGCACATAGTAGAAAATAGTACCTATTAAAAGCTTATTATAGAAAACTTGTATATAATAGGTTAAGATACAATATATAAAAATATACACTTACAAAAACTTAAATTCCAGAAGCGACCGGGCTTAAATACGACAGAATTTCGTCTTTAACAATCAAGTGTATCTTTTTCATTTTCGTCTTATCAAGGAGACTTCTCTAGAATTGAAAAACTTCTTGGCCTACAATAACAAAAATTTTGAAATAAATAGTTTCGTTAACAAAGAAAATGATGGAAATTTTTCCAAAAAATTAATTTAAAATAAACTAAATACAAAATAATATGTTTTAGTTTAATAATCGAAAAGAAGATGTATATTTTTACCCTGTATTGCTGGCTGACGTAAATCGGTCATTTTTTTTTATGTCTGGAGATGAAAGACATCCTCTTGGGCACGAAGTATTGTCTTTGCACAATTGCGAACAGGATATAGACAACAGTTACTTGTCACATCCATTTCCTATATATGCTTTAATTCCACATAATGTCGCCCCGTTGAAATGGCAAGATTCCTCCATCTGGACCAAAGCTTAATTCGATATATCTTACTATTTTCTTATCCATACCTCATTCTACGTTACTAACTCATTTTATAAAGATTTATATGTAATCTTGAAAAAATTTTAATTATTTAAACATGAATTATTTTTCTGTCACCTCCAACTAAAGTTTTCTTTAATTTCCTCCAGTGTGCGACCATGCACTAATTTTACAAAAGTTGCTCAACCGTTTTAGGTTTGTTTAACACTTCTTTTCATTTAATAAATGAATTGCTAAATGTCAAAAATTCTAATTTAAAAAAAAAAATAAAGTTTAGATGACCCAAGACAAGTAAATCTTGTCCATAATATAGAAAGAATATGAACAACCATATGAACGACAGTGTAATAATCCTTTAAAAACCAATATTTGTCAAAAAAAACTTCAAACACAGACCAGAACATCACGAAACCCTCATTCCTCTATACACTTTTACATAGTTTTTAAACATTTTTACTTCCATTACTTTTGTACCGCGCCCTCAGCGAAGAAATTAGAGGGAATACTATATCAAATTTTCTGGGTCCCCATAAACCTAATTGTTATATAGTTAGGATGAATTATAAAATTAAAATTAAATAGTATATTTTTCCAATATATTATTGTATATTTATACCTTAATCTTTTTCTTTAACTTCTTACATCGTAATTTCATATTGTAGTAATATTTTTACTATATGTTCTTTCAATTATTTTTGTTTTTAATTTTCAGGTGGTGCCTTTGAAGGTGTCATTGATGACAACGTGTCACCATTCGGGTACATGAAAGGTGAAGGCATCGATGCGGGCTATGGAGAACATGAATGGATTTGTAATAAAGACAAACAACGTACAGATGCTATATTCTCAAGTCTTGGTCCAGTAGATGGAAAAATATCAGGAGCTGGTAAGTGGGAAATATAATATCAATGTCATTTGTAAACTAATGTCAAATCTAATTTAATTACAGCTGCTAAACAAGAACTTATTAAATCGAAATTACCAAACTCTGTGCTTAGTAAAATCTGGAAGTTATCTGATGTTGACGGTGATGGCTTCCTTGATTCCGATGAATTTGCACTCGCACTCCACTTAATCAATGTTAAATTAGAGGGTAATGAATTACCTAGCTTGCTGCCCGATCATTTGATTCCACCATCAAAACGTTGATCGCAATGACTAACACTTGTGTTGTGTTATTTCCGATTTTTTTTTTTTTTGCTTATATAATGAGAGATTTTCTTCTAAATCTGTACACCATAGTCCACTCTCGCAAAGCTCCTCTTCAATTTGTGCATAAATTAAAGAACACATATACACATGGACAAATAAAATTGCACAAATTAAATTTAAAACGAAAATGAAATTAAACACTTATATAATATATATTTTCCTTTATACAGGGCATATAGGCTTAAAAATTGTTTATATATAATATATATTGTTTACTACAATACTTATAAAGCTTAAGTAAACTTAAATTAAATTGTGAAAGCAACTATAATGAATTAACCCACATAAATTTATACTATATACAAATTTATATATCATGTAAAATTATAGAGTCATATATTTTGGAATTATGTTTATATATAGAGTATACATATTTATATTTAAAAAGAAAATAAATTGTGTAAGTTGAATTTATATACAAGCATTTCTGCTTAATATAAATAGCATTTGTTTGTTTGATTAAAATGTATATTAAATTAAAAATTGAAATATTGTAAATTAAAATTAGCTAAAAGTATTCATGCATTTGCTTAAATATACTGATTGTTAACATTTATTGTATTGTATATACGTATATTTCACTCGGTATAACTATTTTATAAGTTAAAATATGTTCTTAAAAAATATTTATATATTATTATTTATTTGCAATAGTAGTTTTTTTTCTTCTTTTTTTGAATTCATAGAGTTTATGTCAGCTCATTTAATATGTAAATAATTTAAGAATAAAATGTTTGAGATTAAAATTTCTTTAAAGTTCTATAGCTTTAATTTATTTTGTAAAACAGAGCATGAATACTAATAGCATTAAGTACCAAAATATTTACTATTTTGTATAAATAAATTATGTATGTATGCCCTAAAAAAATTTTAGATAAAATTTGTTGATACTTTTCATATGTTGTTAAACTTTAAAACTTTTTTTAATTAAATATTTTTTCGTTGTTTATTACTTTACTCTTAATATTTCTAATATATTTTTTACTGTGCAATGATTTAAAACAATATTAATATTAGTATTTTATTTAGTTAAAGAAAAAATTTTTTTGAAGTAAAAGTGTGTATTGATTACCTTAAATATTTTTTTATTTATGTAGTAAATCAAATAAATTCAGTGTAAAAAAACTTTTTGTATTAAAATGCAATGATTTAATAAATACAAAATTATCAAAATTAAATTAATTATTTATTTGTTTATTCAGGATTTAATTGAATGTAATGTAATGTTGAGTTTTTTCCGAGTTAGTGCAACTGGGCACTTTTACTCTTTGATAGCTGAGGAGTTTCCACCTATCTCACTGACTAATTTCAGTATTCCTCATAATCGTTTTACATGATTAGAAGTACTGTAGAGAAATATTTAATACGACTGAATTAATTAGGAGCCTGATTACAAAATTGTATTGTATTCCTACCATATAATAAAAGTATAAAGGACACTAAATCTTATACTATATATCTATAGTTTGTACGGGACTGAGAACTTTTACTCTATGAAAATTAATAGTAAAAAATAATCATAATAATATGTTAGAACTACATGATTCCAATGGTGCAAAATTTTGCAGTATTAACAGATATTTTATACTGAACGTAAGTCATTAACTGATTAGAAGTCATTCTGACGGGGTTGAGACGTCTTATCTCTAGAAATACTTTAGTTATAGAAAGAAATATAATATTACATTTATCTACAGTCTAATCTCTTTATAACATAACACAATTAGTGGAAAGTTGGATACGATTTTATTTTATTTGTTTTTATATTGTTGACACTCTTGTGAAAAAGATTAGTATGGATAAGTTTGTAGTGCAATTTTAAAATAGGAGAATATATTAGCAGTTTACCCCTGAATCAATTGAATGGAACTGTTCTCCCACTTTCTTTAAATTTAAATACGAATATGTAAATAAATGATGTTGATTCATGTTATATTATAATTTTTGTTAGTATATAAATTAATCCCGATTTAAAAAAAAATCCAAAAATGTATTGAAAATTAAGTATTTTATTTAATCTCAAAAAATTATTTATATAATATTAATAATTTTATTAATTCCTTTAAGAATTTATATTATTTATAGCAGAATCAAAATTTAGAAATAATAACAATTAGAATTTTTTTATTTGAAAGTTTGACATGCTAAAATAAAAATATAAATAGTATTAATTCTATGTTCGAAAAATCAGTATTCGTATTCCACCCCGATGAAAAAGTAAATCGTCGGTATTATTTTTATATAGAAAAAATCTGTGTAAAATAAATTAAAAATAAAAACTATAAAATAGCCTTTTATCTAAGTTCAAAAAGCATTTTTAAAACACTCATCATCAATAAAAATTGAACCAAAAATAACCTAATATTAGTAATATATAATATTAATATTATAATATATTATTAATTTTATATAAAATATCTGTAGTATTTTTATATAAAAAAATATTTCCTTTTAATATTTCAATGTTTTGTATTTTATTAATTGTTATCATATGAAATCTATCAAATTAGTAACACTATAAAAGAAATTTATAAAATCTCTATAAAAAAGCTATGTTTCTTGTAATTTCAATAAAATAATCAACAAGTTACCTTTGTTGGTCTACTATTTCTGTTTATCAACACTTAAATCATCAGAAAAGTTTTTTGACTAAAATGTGTAACTTCTTTAATTATTCACGGTTTGTGTTGAATTTATGTTTGGCCTTTTATTTGTAGTATAAAATATGACAAATAAGCAAAAGTTTAAGAATATTAATATTCATATTCTTAACTAATAGAAACATATTTTTGTGATTTTTGCCATAATTTTATTTGTGATAGGCTCTAATGGTGTTTAAATTATATTTTAAATGTAAACATTTTATAAAGCTTCATAATAAAAACTTTTTACGAAAAAGTGTGCGAGCTTAGTTTCATATTATGAACTTATTTATTTTATTGTAATATTACAAATGATTTCTACAAAGGAAACAAACTAAACAATTATTACTGAATAATAACGTATTCAGTTAATAATATATATCGGGTTTAAATTTAAATTATTATATATTGGAAATTATCACAAAGTCTAATTTAAGTGAAGTTATTCGACGAGAAAAATAATTATGATTTTATTAAAAAGTTTTTTTTAAGTATATTACTAAATATAGTAATATATATAGTAAGTAAATATTTTTGTTTACTTTATTTATATTTGTATCTATTTTTCTTTAAAATTGTTATATCTAGCATCATATTATTTTACCATATAAAATTAAATTAGTTACGATTCGTTATTATATAATGTATATATTATTAAAAGTATTTTATTTATTTTTAATAGTATAAAAATAAAAAAATTTGATGTTTATCAAATTAGTTCACCTTTAAAATAAAGCAAAAATACCATATAAAGTAATTACGTTCTCTATAACTTCTTTTAACTTTTGGTAAAGACGTAAACAAGTTTTTTTTTGTGTTTTTTGTTTAAAAATTTTTATTTTTGTTGTGTTTCTGTTGAGGTTTGAAGATAAAGTAAAAACAAAAGATGAATTTGGTTAAATATTCGTTGTTTGTGTTGAGCTTGTGTTCATCAATTCCCTATCTACCAAATGCCAAACAATTAATACCAACAGCAACTTATCAGGAAATAAAAAATATTCTTAATTATCCTGAAAAATATCTTATCGACGTTAGGAACAGGGATGAAATAGCTAAAACTGGAATGATTCCTGGAAGTATCAACATACCATGTAAGCAACATAACACTACTATTACTCTTATCAAATACGAGCAATTTTCATTAAATAAGTTGTAAACGATTTCTAAATGGCAGAATTATGTCATTCGTTAAATGCTTTTAGTGCAATTTTCTTTTTCGATTGATAAATCTCGAGCGAAAAATATAGCACTCAAGATTAATTTAAAACAGTTTATATATCTAGCAAGTGTAGCTAGATGAAGTTTATACCATGAAGTTTATATTCAAATAATTTGTTTTATATGAGTTGACAAATAAGGTATGATTTAATTCGGTATATGTATGTATAAAAAATTATATGTCCATTAATAATACTACAAAAATCTTAAATTACTCTTAAAATATTCAATTAGGCAACGAAATTAGACAGATCGAGCGTAAATCTAGTTTGATTAAAGAAAATGCCATTAGTTTCTAAAATCTAAAATCATACATAAATAAACTATGTTTATTTTAACTTTATTTAAAAGCTTTGGTAAAGAATGAAATTTAATTTTTTTTATTATTTTACAACACTTAAATTCTCAGAGCTTTTTGTGAACAAAATCCAAAGCAGATTTCATCAAAAATTAATTTGCTCAGTTATTCCAGTTAGCGTTGGATTTGCATTCAATCAGTTCGTTGGCATACACATTTGTTCCTATAGCTTTGCGGTTTACAATAGCAACATTAATTGATAGCAATGGCAACTTACGAAGAAGTTAAAGAAATTGCAAATTATCCTGAAAAATATCTTATCGATGTTAGAAACAAGGATGAATTAGCTAAAACTGGAGTAATTCCAGCAAGTATTAATATACCAAGTAAGCAAAATAACATTAAGAAATAGTTATAATTTTAATTAAATAAATTATCATAGATTTCTAAAAATAATGTTGTTTTAAAAGTTGTTCTAGTAATAATTAATGTTAAGTTTAATATTTACACGGGACGGTCTTGTGAATAAAATAACTCAAATCATTTTGAGTCTCATTTTTTATAAAAAAAAAGTGAAGAAAATAAAAGAAAGTTGTTTTTTTAATTTAATAAACAATTTTCGGAAAAACCATTTCTTCTTTATTTCAATATCTTAGAGAATAAATATTATATTTATTTTTTTAAAAATATTTTTAAAGAGCTAACAAATTTAAACAAAATAATTTATTTATTCCTTTTATATATTTTTGAATGAACATAGTTTGGATGTTTTTTGTTAATGACATTTTACTTACTTTCTTACTAAAATGACTATCACGTCAACGCTGATCATGTCATGATCATATCAGTTCAAACAGTTTTGTTATCTGGGGGGTTCCTGCAGAATCTCTCTCACCCATCTCACTAACTAATTTGTGTATTCCTCATCAGTAATAAGATATACGTACCGGTCCGTGCTGTTAGTGATTACTCTGAGGTTAGATAAAGCTATGTAGGGCAGCCTGTTGATTTTCGCATATAGCTTCAGGGCTCTCTTCCTTATGTGTTTTTTTTACCGATTTCCCGCTAAACATTTAATATCACATGTTGGTAAAAGTTATTTTCCACTTGATTAGAAGGTTAATGTTATTACTCGTTTATAGGTAGACAGAAATAATAATAAATTAATGGAGTTTGCTGTTATTGCTTTGCTATTACTGATTCGTAGGTGTTCAACTTCATCCTTACAAAAACGATGCTTCGCTTTATCAGAAACTTAATGTTATTGCTGATTCACACACATAGGTGGACAACAACAATAATTATTTGATGTGTAGATACACAGCTTCAAACTCACAACGGTGACTCTTTGCTTGTTTATAAGAATGATTATATTTAAACAAAGTGTATATTTAAACAAATTAACAACATCTAGTCATATTGACTAACAAGAGGTTTTTTAATTAATATATTACAAGTAATGTTACTTATCTAAAGTGAGCATAAAGATCTGAGCTAGTCATCTTCTTGCTGGTTGAAACTCCTTTGGTTTGAAGCGACATAAACGTCTGTGACAGTAAGGCCTAAAGTATTAACATTTGTAATTTAAACTTATTAAAGACATCTAATTTATTAAATTTCTATTCATTGCACAGAAAATTATGCTTCGGAATTATCTGGAACATAATGTATTACCATTGAAATTCAACAATTGTGGTATAGATAATAAAACACTGTTCGTATGATTTGTAACATTTTATTAATATTAGTATTTGTGATAACAATTTTTAAATAAGTAGATAACAACAGGAAAATTTTGTAGGTAAATTTAAAAAAAGGTATTGCTAAAAATAACTAATTAACACATATTTCTGTGTATATACAATTTTATATATATATATTAAATTCAAGCTGTTTTTCTATTTTTATTTGAAATAGTATTGAATTAGTTTATCTATAATAGTAATTTAAATTACTGTTTTTATTATGAGAAAGTCCTTTTAAATTTAATAACTATTTTTACCTTTGTCCTTAAGTGGTCAAATTTAATTCTCGCATGTGGCTAGTACTTATTTATACATAAATATATAAATAAGATATTGATTGAAAACGTTTCCATTATGTAAACATAAAACTATATATAAATAAGCCAACACGCAATATATATTAATTTTTTTATATACTGAAAATATATAACAGAAACTAAGTTCAGTCTTACGGCACGCATAGCGAACATTTCTGAGGAATAATCAAATACCTTAACAATACATTTAATGCATTTATAAATAAATAAATAATAATACCATTATTTTATTTTACTTTTTACATTGAGAAACTGTAATTTGAGCATGCGAGTAGATATAATTTGTGTTCTTTTAAGATAGTATCAAATATCAATATGTTTGGTTTTACATTTTATCACAAATAGTCAGTCTAAGATTGAAACATGGGGAAGATATTTCAAATGACAAATTAAAATAACAATCAAAATATGTTTTTTTATAAAAATGAAATATCTCTCATCACCAAATTGTTTTATATACTCATTTTAAATAATTCTTTTTGTCTGCATTTAATATAATACACATTTTTAATACCCGTAAAATTACTACACACCTTAACTTTATATTACATATTCAAAATAATTCCATTCTATGTATACATTTTAGTCTAATTTCTTAACTATTCTATAACATATATTTATAAATCACAATACACATTTTCATTGCTATGAACAAAATTAATCAATTTCTGGACTTACGTATAATGCAATAAATTCTAAGTTTTATTATAAATAATTAATATCTAAATTTTTAGTACATCAATAAATTCTTTCAACAAAATTTATTTATATCAAATATATATATATTCTTCAAACATACAATTGACCAAAAGTTTATAATGAATATTTAAGTTCACCAAGCAAATGCAAATTCTAATAAGTGAGAAAAATATTTCAATCATGCCTGTTTTTATATCGGCTTAAATATAAACTAGTCTAATATATCTTCAATATTTGTTAGAATAATTGAAGTAATTTGATTATAGTTGGAGTAGCTAACACATAATACAAATTATAATACATTCAATTTTTATATACTTGTTTCTTTTAATTTAATTAATGGCTAAGATGAAATCTTATATATTTTTTATAAACAATATATTACAAATCTATCTATTACAAAATTACAAAATATTACAAAACTAGTAGATGACCCGGCGAACTCTGTTCCGCCTTAAAGGCAATAAATAAGCAGTTTTTTTTTAATTGGAAAAAATACAAAAAAAAAAAATACCTACATTAATCATTCATAATTTATTTGTGTATTTTAGTACACATCGCAAATTATCTATTTGTTGACCTCTGTTGTTCGCTCGACCTTCAGTCCTTAAATTTGCAGTATTTCGTATTCTTCTTGCATTACGGCTTTGTCGGGAAAGATTCGATCGTCTTGGTCGTGGCATTATTAAAAAACTAAAAACTCAAATTTTCAACCATACCATACATTGTAATTGTTAATTATTTATTTTGTTGAGTTTGCAACAACCAGGTAGTTTTATTGATTAAAAACGATATTTATTGCAACACAAACTTATATTGATCTAATACAACTTTTAAAAACACATTAACTAAGTTATATTTCTATCTGTTAAATTTTAATAAAATATTTTCTTATATCAAAAATTTGATAATTTCAAAACCTACTTTGTCGTGAACGGGATAAACAGGTATCCTATGTCCTTCTCCTGGCCTTAAACTACCTCCCTGCCAATTTTCAGCTAAATCGGTTCAGCCTATATCCTTCTCCTGGCCTTAAACTACCTCCCTGCCAATTTTCAGCTAAATCGGTTCAGCCGTTCTTGAGTTATAAGTGGTGTAACAAAAACACATCTTTCTTTTATATATATAGAAGATTCATCAAAAATAATAAAGCAATTGTTTACATATTTTTACATATAGCTACCAATTCACATATAATTTTCATAAGAGTTATTCTTAAACAAATCAGATAAGAATTACATATAGTACCAGATATTTCATACTTTGGTAAATGAATGAGACACTAGTGTTAAAGAATTTTAATAGATTGGTTTTGTTTTTAATATAGCCACTTAATGGCTTTAATGATGCGGTTCCGATTTCTCAGACATGTCTATACCTTTATCTCTCAAAGTTATTTGGAACAAATTTTTCTACTATACTATATGAAGATATAGCTAACTTTTCTAGATATCGAAGTTTAAAATTGTTAATTATTTACATTGATTATAACAACAAAAACACACATACACAACTAAAAATAACTTTGAAACCCAATGTCTCGAGAATTAAGCTATATTTATATATAGTATAGTGGAAAAAGTTGTTTAAAATACTTATTCTTTACTAAAATTTGCTGTTAAATAGGTGTGACCGAGAAATTGGAACTGTGACGCTTGAGTTTGTAAAACATTCAGCAATATATTCTTGGAAATATGTAAACTGAATTTATGTTTTAAATTAAAAGGAAAAACTGCAAGAAACAAAGTTTACCATAAAAAAAAATTGTTTCTAATAAGTCTTAGTAATCAATATGGTTGGTCACATAAAATTTGTTAGTCATATAAAAAGAAACTGAATAGATACAAAAATGTATACTAATATTACATATTTTCAAAAGAAAAGAGTTTTACTCATATTCATATATCACTTATATATAAATATATATATTGGTAATAAAACAACCAAGTTGGTATTTATTTTAAACGTTTAACCATCTGTCAATTGTTATCAAAAAAAACAATTTCATGATATAGATTTTACTTTTTAACGATAAATGCATACCACCTCTAACGTTATGTTATTCATGAGCTTTCTAACTTGATAAGATTGTCAAATTATTTAAACCTAAAAAAGCACCGAAATTTGTTTAATTTCGATAACATACGATAAAATTAGTCATTATAAAAATAGTTTATTTTTTTCTAATCAATTTAACTGCAATAAAATTGATTTTTGTTATTAATATATTAATTATTTAATACAATAATGTTATATTATTTCTTTCTCATAAACCTCGAATATATCTATTGCATTTTATAAAAACTAAAATTACTGATTTTGTTTGTCAATTTTATATAAAATTTGGTTTTAATTATTTTCTTTTTTTTCTTTGATTAGTGTCTGAATTAGAGGCAGCATTTAAGATGTCTGAAAATGATTTTAAAACAGCATTCAATCGTGACAAACCAACCGAAGAGACAGTGTTAATCTTCTCATGTCAAGCAGGTGGCCGGGCACAACGTGCCACTGACTTAGCACAATCTCATGGTTTCAAAAAGTAAGTTATACATATTACTTCGAATGTAAAATCTTAGAAATATACAAATATTTTTAATTGTCTATTTATAGCGCTAAAGCTTATGCTGGTTCATGGACTGAATGGGCGGAAAAAGAGAACCTATCTTAAAATTGTATAATATATTTATATATATTATATTGACTAATATATAATATTTGTTTTGTTATATTTTATATTTAATTATATATTATATTTTATTATATTTTATATTTTCTTATATATTATATTTTATTTATATTATATATAATTATATATTATATTTTTTTATATATTATATATTTTTATATACAATATTTTATTATATATTATATTTTTTTTTATATTATAATATATTATATTTTATGTAGATATAATACAAATGTTTTTTTTATGATTAGTTACAATTACAATAAATATCAATACATTTAAAAGATTATTTTAAATCCCCCCAGCTTTTTCCTATCTTAACCTTTACTTTAAGTGGTATTTTTAATTGCACGCATTTTTCCATTGTTGTGCTTAGGACTTTAGCGATGTGTTTTGCTTTGTCTTTTGGTACTTCGAAAATTAATTCGTCATGCACATGCAAAACTAATCTTACTGAATTCTCTTCAATACCCAAATCTGAACTATATTTTTGTATATTTTTCTCCGTAAGCAAAATAGCTCTTTTCACTATATCAGCCGCAGAGCCCTGAATACTTGCATTAATGGCACGACGCTCAGCTTGGTCTGTAATAAGTTGTCTACTGTAGAGCAGTTAATATTTTTAAAAAGTGCAACTTACTTTTAATTCTTATATCAGCATTGTTGATGTTTTCCACATAACGTCGACGCCCAGTTATAGTCTCAATATAACCATTGATTCGTGCAAATCTTACAATTTTCTCTGCATAAGTTCTATTAAAAAATATTATTTAATATAATCACAATAATAGAAATATATTAAAACGAAAATTTAGTGCGGTTTTGGGAATATTATATAGGACAAAGACAAAATTAGTGAACTATCTACTACACAAAAAAATATAGATATAAAATAAAAACTTACTACTTAAATATATATATATATAAATATATGAGGTTTTAAGCTATATCAAAAAATAATACGAAAAAAAGTAGATTATATATATACATGTTGAAAATAAATTTTACATAGTTTTTGTAAGTAGAAATTATACCTAATATAAGGATATGCAGCATGAAATTCTCTTGAGAGCAAATTGGCCTGTTCTTCAGTGCATTTAAGAGAATCTGCTAAACTACACATACCCATGCCATACACAATGCCGTAACATATTTTCTTGGTATCATTTCTTAATTGGTCTGT